TATTAGGAGCCAGGTGAGGAGGAAACCCAGCTCAGTTCCAGCTTGAAATAGGTCCAGGAGCTCAGACCTGCCCCGCCTGCACAGGGGCTGCTGCCACCCCACGCTGCTACCTCTTTATCAGAGGCAGCAGCAAAAGGCAACAGGCAGCCGGTCCGCAAGGGGAGCTGTTTTTTAAACTGGCTCCCTTCATGGACCAGCTCCTGCCTGTCACTATGCACTATGCCTCTGATACACAAACAGCAGTGTGATGTGGCAGGGGCTCCTTGGGAATGGAGCTGGAGCGCACTGGCTGCCAGCCCTGTCCCCAGGGACTATAGAATAGTCAACTACCCGATAAGAATTCATGAGGTTATTCGACTATTCAATTAACCGATATTTAACATCCCTAGTGCTGAACACCCATTTTTCCCTATGGGTGCTCCAGCCCCAGAGCACCCACAGGAATTGGTACGTATTGCCTGCGGGTGAAGAATTGGTCCCATAGGATTGTTCTCCATTTGTCCATCTCAGAATGAGGAACTGACTCACATCTCTTTCTTTAGGGACTCCAGCTCCTCAGTGGTGTAAATTGTCCATCGACCTGATGGAGCTATGACACAATGCTCCAGACGGGGCTCTGTCCCCAGGTATTTCAAACCCGCTGCCTGGATTCTTAAGCACTCCACTGCAGTGAGGGTTAGAGTCTCTCTGCCTGCCAAAGAATTCAGTCATAGTGGGGAATAACCATATCATCAGAAAATTCCACCCATTGCTCTGTCGTTCTTAGCAGAATTGTTTCACATCTTTTTGCTGTAGGCCCAGATATTCCCCTTGATTTGCATGTGGAATGACCACTTCCTGTTCTTCTGCACAGAGTAGAACCATTGGTAAGATTGATGGATGTGTGATGCTACCAGCACTCAACAATTCCTCTTTGAAAGAGCACGACAAATGGGTCAATGTTCTTTCTCACCTCACACGGCCAGGGAACAGGAAGCGTGGTGGGTCATAGCCAATACAAACTACCAAAGGACAATCTGGCTTGATAATGGGAACATTTAATGATGTTTTATCTGGTTTCTGGTTTCTACTAAACTATGGAATTGTGTTTCTGGGGCTGTCACTTGATCCCTGTCAGCTGAGTCATTAAGGGTACGTCTGTATGGCAGGGCTAAGCTTGAAATAAGCTATACAACTTGAGCTACGCTAATTGCATAGCGTAAGTCGAAATAGCTTATTTCGACTTTTGGTGCTGTCTACACCGCAGTTATTTTGAGAGAGAGAGAGAGAGCACTCTCCCTTTGACTTCCCTTACTCTTATACAATTAGGGTTACAGGAATCGGACTGCATTATATTGCCCAAAGACTTTGGAATGATAATGACCGTGTGAATCAAATTCCACACTTTTATTCTTGAAGAAAGTAACAAATCAAGCTTTTAAAAACTATTCAAGCATCTACAAATCATCTCATATTGCATGTATCAAAGGCTCATTATATTCTGGCTGCTAAATATGATGGATCTAAAGAGCAATTTGATCGTGTGTCATTATAACAATTACATAAAGAGTAAGACATAATATCAGTTAGTTACATAGTGTAGCAATAAATATATTGTGTGCACTTTCAGGAGCTTTACTGATGTTTTAATATAAAACTTTTTAAGATCAACGAAAGTACGTAGGTTGGAGAGCACTAAAATCACAGGCCCTGGAATTTTAGCATAACTTTTTTGTAATGCTGCTAGAGTAGACATTCAGTTTCCTGATATATAGAAGATAGTACAGCATATAATTTGCTTGCTCCATGGTACTTTTCACGGTCTCCTAAAACCCCTTGTAACAATGAGTTACAAACTGATGAGTTAGAAAATGATGAGGCATAGCCAGTGAGGTGTTGCACTCTGCATGAATTCACAGGTTGTCTTGGACAGTAGAGGCCAGGTCTTCTGAAACACCCAGAGTGTTTCATGCACATTGGGTGCTAAACTCTTCTGGAAATCTGGCTTGTGTGTAACATTACGGGAGCTGCTGAATGCTGACCAACTTGGAAAATGTGGCTCCGATTTAGGTGCCTAAAATGGGAGCTGAGCTTTCTTAAAAATATGCCCCCACTTGTGATTGCTGAACAATTAATATTTGACCTCAGGGGATCAATTCTGGATGGTCAGTGCCTAGTGAAGATGGGGGGAGTTGACGGTACTCAGAAATGCATCCAGACACTGAAAGAATGAGCTAAGAAGCTGTTTGAGTGGCAATATCAACTCGGATCCTGGAGCTGCCCTCTACTCTTCTCAAAACGTGTCAACAGATTGCCCCATCTGGGCAGCAGCTAAGAGAGGGCTGAGTAGACCTTGGTTGACCAACTCATCTAGTAGTGCTCCACTGGTCTAGTCCTGCAGCTTTAACATTCCACCTCTCCCACAGGGAATTTCCTGGCCTACCTGGTGAATTCTATGGAATAACATTGATTCTTGTTATTGCCCCTTTTTGACTTGAGTAGTTAGTCAATCTTCAAGGCCCTGCGGATGCTTAATTGGAAGTAGAACGGGATGGTGTCTGGTACTTTTACCATCTTTTTTATTTACAAAGAATGTATAAAGATCTGCTTCTATACATGCAGGAGGAACCATGCACACAAGCAACAGTTTCTTAGCTTGAAATCCCAGACGTCTTTAGCCAACATACTTCAACAGCGTGCTCAAGCTTTTTCGAGGATCACATTATGCTCAAAGGCTGTTGGTTGGTTTCCTTGCTTCTGGATTGCTCTTTGTCCTGTATTTTCCCCCCCCCCCC